ACTCTCCAGCATGAGGTCCAGGGGTGTTTATGTGTGTGATTGTATCCCATCATGCTCTAGGCTACTGATTCTGCCTCAGAAATGCAGTCCTTTACAAATGTCCTCAAAGCCTCTGTGCTTGCCAGAGAGGAATACACACACACACACACACACACACACACACACACATTTAACCTTGAGCCGTCAGTGTAAAAGCTCTGAAGTGCTGAATGAACACACAGATTCGTGAGTTCAGCTCCCGCAGAAAGAGCAGGACGCGTCTGCTGTATGTGTGTGCGCAGATCAGTGTGTGTGTGTGTGTGTGTGTGTGTGTCCTGAAAACACACTCAACCCTGAGCTGTCATCATGTGAGGATCATCCTGCACTTTCAGTTTAAACACACCACAGGAGGCAGATTACAGAGGCATTATCATACTGTCTGCGCTAGAAGAGGTGAAGATGCTTGAACACACACCTCCGGCTGGAACAAAGCAAGGAGAAGGTGTGTTTCCAGCGGTGTTGATGTGGGAGTGTCGCAGGTGGAAAGAGGGAGGGGTTTGCATCAATACTTTAATTGATCGAACTTATTTAGTAAACCTAATTAACTTATTAAGTAATTAATTAGCTATATTTAATGATGTTTTTAGGGCGGCAGGGTGGCTCAGTGGTTAGCACTGTGGCCTCACAGCAAGAAGGTCGCTGGTTTGAGTCCCGGCTGGGTCAGTTGGCGTTTCTGTGTGGAGTTTGCATGTTCTCCCAGTGTTGGTGTGGGTTTCCTCCGGGTGCTCCGGTTTCCCCCACAGTCCAAACACATGCACTATAGGGGAACTGATCAACTACACTGGCCATAGTGTATGAGAGAGTGTGTGTGTGTGTGTGTATATATAAAAAACTGTGTATGGGCGTTTTCCAGTAGTGGGTTGCAGCTGGAAGGGTATCCACTCCAAAAAACATAAGCTGGAATAGTTGGCGGTTCATTCCGCTGTGGTGACCCCTGATAAATAAGCGATTAAGGTGAAGAAAATCATTGAATGAATTTGTCATTTTGCATGTTTTCGTTTTGGAAAGAGTGCACCACACATTTACAGTGTCTTCTTAAAATCACGACACCTAAATGTTAGTTATCAGCACATTTCTGGGAAGGCATTTAAAACAGTTTAACCACAGAATAAAGAATAAATATCAGCTTTCTGGGTCTGTAAAATAAGTAAAAGCTAAACCCCTCACAAGATGTTGAAGATGTTAAAGAGAGAGAATAAAACGCTAGAAATGCAGACAAGGACAGGGTTTGGGGGAACGTCAGAGTGTGGAAATCACACAACAGATTTAACACTCTCTGTCAATGAGGGCTTTTGTTTCAGACGGTTATGGAGACAGAATCAGAAGGCCAAAACAAACAGCGGCATTTATCTGTCCTCACATAACACACACACACACACACACACACACTCTGTCTCTG